GAAGCACATCAGCCTGTGTGTTCCTGAGGTGTTGATGGCATAAGTACAGGGCATCAAAGACCCAGAACCAAAAATCTTATCGATGTAAATGAGGGGTAGGGCGGAATGGAGAGCCACAGCCCATCTGTAGACAACTGGACATTCCCTTACAGAAGGGGCCTCAAGGGAGAAATGAGCCAGGCAGGGTGCAGTACAGCACTGTTGCAACATACAACTTCTCTCTAGTTCTTTAATGCTTGCCCCCACCACTATCATGACCCCAATTCTACCTTACAAATCTGCTAGACCAGAGCATGTACACTGGTACAGATACGAGCTGGCAACACAGGGAATCCAGGAAAGATAAAGCACTTGGGACCAATAATGAGAGTAGCGATACCAGGAGGGTAAGGGGAAGGTGCAGGGAGAAAGGAGTGTGTGTGTGGGGGGGATCACAATGATCAACATAAAACCTCCTCCCAGGGGGGTGAACAACAGAAAAGTGGGTGAAGGGAGACAGCGGTCAACGTAAGACATGAAAAAAATAATAATTTATAAATTATCAAGGGTTTGTGAAGGAGGGATGGCTGGGGGGAGTGGGGGGGAATGAGCTGATACCAAGGATTCAAGCAGAAAGAAAATGTTGAAAACGACAGCAACATATGTATAAATGCGCTTGACACAATGGATGAATGGATGGATTGTGGTAAGAGCTGTAAGAGCCCCCAAGAAAATGATTTTTAAAATATATATTAATTTTAGTGTTTATGTAAAAATTTCAATTACATTAGTATTTCTTCAAATAAAGTGCTATAATAAAGAACCTACATATTTTTTCTTAATTTCCTGTGTTACAGAGGAAAAATAACACTACTTACTATCATTTATTAAATACAAAAAATAGATAATTATTTCTAGGTCCTGGAAATATAAATACAAATACTAAAAATATGGAGTTGCTCAAACTTTATCAAGTACTGTTCATATGGTAAAAAGCAAGTGACTAAAATAATCTATGGTAAGTTAACTGAGAAACAAATCATACGGTTATAAAGATGACCCTAACTGATCTTGTTCTAACGAGACATATTCTGAAAGTTTTATAAAGTCATTGAATTCAAATATTTAGAATGAGTAATTTATTTCTACAAATCTATTTAATTATTCTATAGCCTCTTGGCAAACCTACATACATAATAATAGAAAGACAACACTTACCCATAACAGGTACTAGGGTATGGAAGGGATAAAATCTTAACACTTTAGTTTTTTATCCAAAATAAATAAAGCTACCTTTATGCTTTACTCAAATCATCTATGTTGTTAGTTTTCACTGCATAGGTACAATAGAACAAAATGATGCCTAGTCTGCAGCAATGCCATGATTGATTGTGCTTTGGATTATTGTGATCCTTATGCAGGGGGGGTTGGAGGATTTTTCAGAAACAGATAATAAGATTTCTTTTCTAGTCCATCTTAGTTTGGCAGCTCCACTAAAAACTGTCAGTTGCCCAGGAGGTCCACTGGCTGGATAGCAAACCCAGGTTTCCTACATGGGGAGAATTCTACCACTGAACCACAATAAAACAAGATCTAATATCCACATTTTCTTTAGAGTTTTGCCCTACATATGAAAACTAAGCAGTATAGGATACTAGGCCCACAACGTACTTCCTTTAAATATCTTTTACCATTTCCAAAATCTCTAAGGTTAACATTAATTGATAACCTTTAATTAATGTATTCAAGTATACACTGCATATACAAACATATACGTACTAAGCAACCTAGAGTTGATTCACACTTCATAGACCCCCACCTCTGTAAGCTTCTCCCCTCCTAACACCAAAAATTCTTATTGACTATGCTATATGAGGAGATTTCAAAAGTCTGTGGAAATTTTTCATAATCTTTTAATTCCATTTTCTATAAACTTATTGATGTCCCTTCGACTTTATGCCACTTATTAAATAGAGACTTTCCCTAAGATCAAAAAGATATTAAAAAATAAGTGTGAGGTTTACTGTCTTTCTCTCATGATAAAATTGTGTCCAAAGCTGCTGAAAGTTTCAACACTGTTGTGTCATGTGTGTGTGTGTGTGTTGGGGTCAGGGGAGAGAAGGAAGCAGGAATGAAAGGAGTTGTAGATATGGAAGAAAATCACTCAGGAACAGCTCTCAGTTACCAGATAAATTAGCTAGTCACTGGTCTGAGCGCAAAGAACGGCAAGAGTATATGCATAGAGATACATCTTCCTCCTGGCTCTGCGTGAAATGCAAAATTTTGTGTGTCTTTTTCATGAATAACATGGGATAAATAACATGAAAAACATAGGGTGCTGCAACAAAATCTCTAAAACTCTGAGGCAGACAGAATTTTAGCAACCTGCTTATAGCCACCTGAAATATAAATAATATAATTATAATATAAATAATTCCACCCTTTTACCTGACTATAAAACCACATATCTCATTGACTCTCCACTGGCGAGATGCTATCGGTAGGTCTCCATCAAGTCAATTTTGACTCAGAGAGAGTCATCAGTGGGTAAGTACTTTAGTTAGCAGCCATGAGTGTAACCATTGTACCATCACTCCTTTCAGCAAAATGAAATTAAAATACATCTACATTACTGACTCACTTTTTTAAAAAAGAAAATGAAAGAAATGGCAAGTACAATCTTTAACCATCATTCAAACATTCCACAGTAGGGTATGTTAAATAACTGACAAAAATTTTTTTGAAGTCCTCCCAACTTAGCATTGCTTTCCTGCTCTGTAGTTCCTGATCTACCTTGAGTTCATCCAGTGAGTCACTGAATTGCTTATGCTAATTTATGAAACTTGAATAGACAAAAAGGGATCATTATTTATTGTGGTAAACAATAACATCTAAACTATATACAGAGGGAAATGAAAACATGAACAGTGAGTGCTCAATGGGTATTAGGTACAGTTGAAGAAAAACTATTGACGTCAGCTAACTAGTGAGTGAGTTATAAAGAGAGGGGGTGGGAGGGTATGGCAGTTACATAATCTGCTGTCAACTTGGGAAGGGTTGGAGTCTAGACTGTCAATCAGGTCCCAGTCTGATGACTTCACTTGGAGGGGTGACGGAATTAAACAGCTGACTGGGGGCCAAATACACACACTCTCCCTGCAAGACATTCCTGTTGACAATCCTGGACCTAAGCTGATAGAGCAAGAGCCCAGGAGCTGGGAGGAGTCATGTGGAGATCCAAGTCATCACTGACATGCTTCCACTACCACTGGATCCACAAGACTTTCCACCCACTGGCCTGTGATCTTCCTGCATTCGGTATCATTGCATGTGCTACGTGAGTCTGAAGAGGAATTTATTGACTGGTATCAGACATATGGGATATTATCGGAATGGGCTGGGATATTTTTTTAATATACAATTACTCATTGATATAAAGCGCTCTCTTACACACAAGTGTCTCTAGATTTGTTTCTCTCACAACCCTTAGTAACCCAGAGGGTCAGAGTGAAATGTCTGAAATCAAGATTTAGAAAGTGGTAAGATAGGCTTAGGATAACCAAAAGCTGCGATAAACTGAAACAAAGATCAGTAAAAAGGAAGTCAAAGGATTTGAGAAGGGAAGCTTACCTAAGAGAAAGCTGTTTTCACCAAAATGGAATGTATTCAAACTAATCTAGAACCACATATATATTTTTAAATAGAAAACTATTTGTTTTATTACATGTAACTCATTGCCATCAAGTCTATTCCAACTCATAGCTACCATATGTATATATGAGGTATCCCCCCCAAAAAACACAGAATTTTTTCTTCAGAGCTATATATTTAAATTTTTTTACAAAGCAACCTTATCACCTTCAATGCATTCTCTATTACACTCAATACATTTGTCAAATCTGCGATTCCATTCTTGGAAACATTTTGCAAACTCATCTGTTTGGATGGCTGACGGTACCTCCCTCATTTTTCTCCTCACCCCTTCTACATCCTCAAATCCCTGTTCTTTCATGTCCCTATTCACTCATTGAAACGAAAAGAAGTCAGAGTGAGGTCAGATGAGTAAAGCGCATGGGGCAAGAGAAGCAAGCTGGTTTTTGGCAAAGACTGGAGCACAGAGATGCCTGCATGAGGAAGTGCATTGTCGGTGGCAAAACCAGTCACCATCTGCCATAAATCAGGCCTCTTTTGTCCCACACAGTTATGCAATAAACAGAAAGCTTGATTAACAGTCTGACCTGGTGGAACAAACCCCAAATGTACTACAAGTTGACATTTTTGTTCCTTTGGGAAGTTGATGGATCCCCAGAACAAGGTTCATCAACATTTCACCTTTTTCAAAACGAGAAAACCACTCGTACACTTGATTTTTTTCACTAAAAGCACTGTCCTTGTAAGCTGTGTTCAACATCACAACAGTTTCTCTGACATTTTTCCTAAGCAGGAAACAAAATCTCACAGCTGCACGCTGTTCTCTTAAATCGACCATTACAAAAAATGAGTTTTAAGTAAAGCAAAACAGAGAACCATCTCAGGCAACCCCACTGGGTGCACTAACTCAGAGGGAGTTGCTTGATGTTTGCCTACTGAGAAAAATGTGTATTACCATAGCTTTTAGTGAAAAAAATCAAGTGTACGAGTGGTTTTCTTGTTTTGAAAAAGGTGAAATGTTGATGAACCTTGTTCTGGGGATCCATCAACTTCCCAAAGGAACAAAAATGTCAACCATAGCTCTGCTCTGCCCAGACAATTCCAGTTTGGGGGTGGGTGGGACACTGTACCCCCATATATATATATATATATATATATATATATATATATATATATGGTTTCTGACACTTTAAATCTTTATGGGAACACACAACTTCATTTCTCTCTTATGGAAAAGCAGGTGGGTTTGAACTGATGATCTCTTGTGGTTAGTATCTCAATACCTAAACCACAGCACCACCAGGGTGCCCAATTACTAAATGTAGTACATATTGATAAAAATATGATCAAAAAGAGCTAAATTTTCTTACTCTTTGAGGTGTTTCTGCTGCTGCAGCTGCCATTGCATCAGCTTTAGCCTTCTCAGCTTCATCATATGTAGGTAGAGTGGTAGCAACACTGTAGGGAGGTGGCACAGGATAAAATTCATTATAAACTTCTGAATCTGAAAAAAGAAAAAAAATAACCATTTACAAGAATTGACATGATTGCTACATAGGTATAATAAGTTATTAATTTATAAAATACTTCTTTTATTGCAATCCTATATGTTATAAAATTTAAACTCAAAACAATAACAACTATTGAGTCTATTCTGACTCATTCATAGCAGCCTTATTACATAGGGTTTCTAATACTTTAACTCTTTACAGGAACAAGCAGTCTCATCTTTGTCCTGTGGAGCAATTGGTGGGTTTAAACCACAGACCTTGAAGTTGGCAGTGCCACCAGGGCTCCATTCCCTGTTATATGTAACATATAAATTACTACTATAATCCTATGCTGTTTTTACCTAATATGACCAAAAACAGGGTTTTATATGCCTAATCTTATGCTAGCCCCAGTTATACATATATTTTAATTTTATTTTGTTTAGAATATACACAGCAAAACATATGCTAATCAAACCACTTTTACATGCACACCTCTAACATTGATTAAATGAAGCTCTGATACCATCTCAACCTACTTTTCCATTAAGTTCTTCCTCATTAACATATACTCAAACACCTAAGATTTTGTCTAAGTTCCAAATTAATTTTTCAAGTTATTGTTGTCACTTTGATCCTACACACTAGGTGATCCTTAAAAGAGCATGGTTAATGTAGATGTTTCTTTCACTAGTTAAGCTAAACTACTGTTCGGTGTTAAAATGACTTCAGGGAAGGTACCCAAATAAGAATATGTTCAGGCTTGTCAGCAGGCACGATAAAGAGGAGGGAGAAGAGTAACATATTCCAAAAATTGAAGGAAAATAACTCAAACCCAAGAATACTACATTCAGCCAAATTATCTATTAAGATAGATGGAGAAGTAAGTCATCCCAGACAAGGAAAACTTCAGAGAATACATAAAAATATACCCAACCCTACAAAAGACCATAGCCGACCCAGTAAGGGCAGAAGATCAACACTCACATAACGCAAATAAGAGACCGTCACATAGAATAACTCCACCCAGAGGGCGAAAAAGAGAAAACAGCCCCCAAGATAGCATTAGCTCAATAATGGAAAGAAGGCAAGAATGAACCACACACACACAACACAAACTAATAAGATATGTAGGTAAGAAAACACCCAACGCAAAAGGTACAGTATGACATCACAGAGTCCACAGATGGATAACACCGAATATCAATGGAGTGAACTCAGGCATTAAAAGGCAGAGGCTAACAGACTGGCTTAGAAAACATAACCTGTCGATCTGCTGCCTAGAGGAGACACATCTCAAGCTTGCAGAGAGAAACAGGTAGAGAATTAAAGGCTGGAGAAAAATATACCAAGCAAATGGCAATGAAAAAAAAGCAGGAGTAACAATCTTCATCTCTGACAAAATTGATCTCAAGGTACAAGTCATAACAAGAGACAAGGAGGGGCATTATATAATGCTCAAGGGAACAGATCAAGAACCACTAAGCATAATAAATACATACGCACCCAACAAGAGACCCATAATAAATAAAACACTCCAAAAGATGAAAAAAGAAGACACAGGCTCAGCGATTACAGTGGGTGACTTTAATACACTACTCCTTGAAAACTACAGATCACAGGGTAAGAAATTTAACAAGGAGACTATAGATATAAACAAGGATGACTTAGCCTGGTAAGATATTTTCAGAGCTTTCCACCCAAACGCAAAAAATTCACATTCATTTCAAGCCCACATGGCACATACTTGAAGACAGATCACATGCTAGGAAACAAGTCAAAACTGAGTAAATTCAAGCTCATAGGGATTATATAGATTTCTCTCCGACCACTATGCCATAGCCTGGAAATCAACAAAAAGGAGGATGAAAATAACAAGGGCAAACAATTGGAGGATGAATAACTATTTCAAAAGGATTGGGTATTGGCCCAGATCAGAGATGAAATCAGGAAGTTTCTAGAAATCAATGAGAATGAAAATACGACATACCAAAATCTTTGGAACACAGCAAAGGCATTTATCAGAGGAAGGCTGAAAGCAACACATGCACACATGAAAAATGAAGAGAGACTTATAATTGATACACTGGAACAAAACATACACCAATTAGAGCAGAGTCTACAAAACAATTCTACAAATAGCAAAAGAAATCGTAAAAATCAGAGCTGAGATACAGGAGAGGGTAAACAAAAAAACTAGGGAAGAAATTAATGCAGCTAAAACTTGGTTCTTTGGAAGGATTAACAGAATTGATGGACCGCCGGCAAACCTAACTAAAGAAAGGCAGGAACAGATTTCAATAGCAAGGATGCGGGATGAAAACAGGGGACACTACAACGGACCCCGATGAAATCAAAAGGTAATTTACACAGTACTATGAAGGCCTGTATTCTAACAAATTTAATAACTTAGAAGACATAGACAAACACTTGGAAAAACAATCCCTCCATAGACTATGCCAGATGGACGTCAAGAACCTCAAAAAACCCATACCAATAGAAGAAACCGACAAGGTTATCAAGGGATTACCAACAACAACAAAAATCCCCTGGTGCCAAATAGCTTCACAGGAGAATTCTACCAAATATTCAAGGAAGAACTGACACCAATCCTACACAAACTCTTTCTATGAAGTTAGTGTAACTGTGATAACTAAAGCAGGCAAAGATCCCACAAAAACTACGAACTACAGACCTATTTCCCTAATGAACATCGATGCAAAAATCCTTAACAAGATACTGGCCAACAGAATACAAAAGTCTATTAAAAAAATAGTAATTCACCAAGACCAAGTGAGATTGAAACCAGGAATGCAGGGATGATTCAACATACAAAAGACCATCAGTATCACTGACATGAAGAATTCTTAGAACCACATGATAATATTATCGATAGATGCGGAAAAAGCATTCGACAACATCTAACACCCATTCTGTTTAAGACACTCAAGATAGGAATGAAAGGAAAATTCCTAATTATACAAGCTATATATGAAAAACTAACAGCCAATGTGGTAATCAATGGAGAAAAGACAAATACAATTCCACTGAAAAAGGGTATTAGATAAGTATACCCTTGTCCCCACTCCTATTTAACATCGTACTGATGGTCCAGATAACAACATAATACAAAGAAAAGGCATCAAAAGTATTCATTTGGGTAAGGAAGGGGCGATACTGTTGTTATTCGCAGACGATATGATTTTATACATCGAAAATCCCCAAAACTCTACAAATGGAGTGTTGGAAGCAATAGAGGAATATGGCAAATTGGCAGAATACAAAATAAACAAACAGAAATCTATCGGACTGCTATACACAAGAGACAAGATCACAGAAGAGGCCATTTAAAAGGTGGTGTACCCTTTACAATAGCCGAGCACAATTGAAATATCTAGGGATATACCTGACTAAAACAACAAAAGATTTGTACGATGAAAATTACAGAACAGTATTATAAGAAACCAAGAGTGACCTCAACAAATGGAAGAATATCCCATGCTCCTGGATTGGAAAACTCAATATAGTGATGATGGCAGTTCTGCCCAAGGCACTATATAATTTTAATGCAATCCTGATACATTACCCTCATCTTTCTTCAAAGAAATAGAAAAACTGATAACCAACTTCATATGGAGAGGGAAGAAGCCCTGAATTAGCAGAGAATTCCTCAGGAAGGACACAGTGGGAGGGCTTTCTCTACCTGACTTTAAGCACATCTTATATAGCCACAGTGGTCAAAACAGTGTGGTACTGGTATAACGACAGATATTCAGACCTATGGAAAAGAGCTAAAAACCCAGAAATAAAAACATCAGCATACAGACAACTGATCTTTGATAAGGGCCCAAAAAATATCAAATAGGAAGTGGATGCCCTCTTAAAAACGTGGTGCTGGAAAAAAATGGATATCTACCAGCAGAAAAATAAAGCAAGACCCTTACCTCACTCCACACACAAGAATAAACTTAAGGTGGATCACAGACCTTGAGGTAAAACCCCAAACTATTAGAGCCATTAATCAGGGAATTGGGACAAACCTGAGAACCTTGGCACATGGAATACATAGGATATCAGAAATAGGGAAGGATACAAATACAGAGGAGTAACAAATTGACTAGTGGGATATAGGGAAGATAAATCACCTGTATACATCGAAAGAATTCACCAAGAGAGTAGTACTAAGAGAGCCCACAGATTGGGAAAACATCTTTAGCAATGACAAATCAGACAAAGGCCTTACTGCTAAAATGTACAATACTTTGCAAGCTTACAATAAGAAAAAAACTAACTGCCCACTGAGGAGGTGGGCAAAGGACCTGAACAGAAGTTTCGCAGGGGCAGAAATCCGAATGACCAATAAACATATGAGAAAATGTTCCCAATCATTAACCATAAGAGAAATGCAAATTGAAACAACAATGAGATACCACGTAACACCCTCAAAGAAAGCCCAATTCAAAAAATAAGAAAGTAACAAGTGTTGGAGGGGCTGTGGGGAGACAGAAACTCTTTTCCACTGCTGGTGGACTTGTAGGTACACACAGCCATTATGGAAATCGATTTGGCGAGATCTAAAACAGATGGAGATTGAGCTACCATATGACCCAGCAATCTCCCTACTGGGCATATACACAGAAGAGGCAAGAAACAAACCATGGCCAGACATCTGTGTTCATTGCGGCACAGGTCACAAATGCAAGGAGTTGGAAACAACCCAAACTTCCAACAACAGACAAATGAATCAAAAAACCGTGGTACACATACATACATACATCGATGAACGCATGAAGCACATGGCTGCATGGGAAGAACTGGAGGAAATCATGCTAAGTGAAGTAAGCCAAGTACAACATGAGTCCACTGAGGTAAGCTTAAAAAAAAAAAAAAAACAGGGTATAGGGGAAAAGCTACTATATACATACATCCCTGGGGTGAGGTCCGGCAACTATGGCAGGGGCCAAACCCAATCAAAGGATACATACAGCAGCCACTAAATAAGAGGAGGAAAAAG